CATTCATCTTGGACAGAGACCCAAAAGTTTACTAATAAGTTATGGATGGAACTCATGGGTTTGTTGGGGACAAAGCTTGCGATGTCTTTAGCGTACCACCCCCAGACTGACGTACAGACTGAGTGATTCATTCAGGTGGTTAAACAGTTACTTTGCACAACTTGCAAAGACGACATCAGCCACTAAGATGTACATGTTGAGATAAGCGGTAGTCTTAGGAGCCATAGCTAGGAGAGTCCTAGCTAGGCAAGAGAGTTTAGGCGAAAGAGAGGTTGCACTAGCAAGAATGGGGATACAAATAGCAAACCCTAGAAGGGTTGTACTCGCTACAGAGCACCCCACTACAGGCTAGAGCATAATATTCTGACACACCCCCATAGCCAAAGTGGGGTGTAATCAGCAGAGCAAGCAAAGCAGTACAAGCTTAGGGTGGATCACAATGTCACCACACATTCTGAGCACAAGTTTAAGAAGCAATAGTTTAAAGTTCACAATTATGAGCAAAGCTAGTGGTAGTCACAACGGGGAAGTGAGGAGGAGGAGGGCTGGCGAGAGGAGAGTAGATGGGAGGCGACGACTGAAGCTGCAGGCACACGGGCAACAGACGGCTCTGGTGCGACACAGTGGCTACCGGGAGTGAGTGCCCCGGAGTACAGGAGTAACAGGCTCCGCGGCTAAGACGAGCAGCAGGAGCAACGGACCCACAGGCGACGGCGCAACCGGCTCTCTGAGCTACCGGGAGTGAGTGCCCCGGAGTACAGGCGCTGCGTACGACACGACGGCAACCTCCCCTCAACCTCCCCCAACAGTCCCACACCCCTCGACACACACCCGCTGCTACACCGCTAGCTCCACTCCCCCTTCACCCCCCCCTTAGTACCACTCCGACGGCTCCAACAGGTCCACCCCCCTCAGCGGCAGCTGCAGCACAGGGAGACGGAGGAGGAGGAGGAGCAGGGAACGGCACACAGAAGCTGCACCCCCATACCCCCCAACCCCAAACCCTAATCCAGGAGAACGGGCAGAAGGAGGGGTGGGGCGCCTTCAGAAGCACGGGGGACAGCGGGGAGGACAGGGGAAGCGAAGAACGGGCCGCCCACGGGCCTGGCACCGCCTCCCGAACCGCGCGCAGGCGGTCCGAGCCGCGCGCGGGCCTGGCGCAGCCCGTACGGGCCGCGTGCCGGGTGTACGGGCCGCGTGCAGGCCACGACGGGCGACGGGGGGCGACGCGCGGGTCCCCGTCGCCCGTCGCAGCGCCTCCCGGGGGCGACGTGCCGAGTGACGGGGCAGGAACCCGTCGCGCGCCTCGGGGCACACGGCGGGCAGAGAACCGCCGCGCGCCTCGGGGCGCACGGCGGGCAGAAAACCGCCGCGCGCCTCGGGGCGCACGGCGGGCTGAAAACCCTAGTTTCGACGCCGCGCACCACGGGGCGCGCGGCGGACAGGGAGTAGCAGTAGCAGCGGAAGCAGTGAAGTGGGCCCACAGGCCAGGAACGTTAAGCTCTGATACCATGTTGAGATAAGCGGTAGTCTTAGGAGCCATAGCTAGGAGAGTCCTAGCTAGGCAAGAGAGTTTAGGCGAAAGAGAGGTTGCACTAGCAAGAATGGGGATACAAATAGCAAACCCTAGAAGGGTTGTACTCGCTACAGAGCACCCCACTACAGGCTAGAGCATAATATTCTGACAGTACAGTTACCGATGCTTGAGTTCGCTTACAACAACGCTTCACAAGCAGCCACAGGGAAATCTCCTTTCTTCCTATGCTATGAACGAGAACCACTTACGCCACAGCAGCCAACCATATAGGCACATGTCCAAGCTGCAAATGACTCTATCACCACCATGCAGCAGCTATGGGAGAAGACGTCTCACCACGATGCAGAACTCCCACAAGCAGTATACAGATCGACAGCGACGAGTTCACTCAGTAGCAGTCGAGATTAGGTGCTTCTTGACACACGCAACTTGGACTTGTACCATCTTCTGTCCAAGCTCCGGCCTTGCTTCTGTGGTCCTTTTGCACTTACCTACTATGTGGAAGCTTCACAACGCTTTCCATGTTCAGCTACTGAAGCCCTACAAGGACCCCAACCAACAGTTCCACAGACGACAGCTACTGCCATCACCTCCTGTTCTCATACAGAACGAACCAGAGTACCTGGTGGAACGAGTGCTCGCTCATCAACGCAAACGCGGCAACAGGCTCGATTTCCTGATACGCTAGACGGGATATGACCCATCGGAGGACAGTTGCAGAAGCTGATATGGGCAACGCACGCCGTGCTCTCAAGGACTATCTTGTCAAGCAGGGTGCTTCTCACGCCACCCAGTTTTTATGGGGGGACGCCTGAGAGTACGACGGCTCTGCCTACTTGGATTTACCTATCTTTGCCTTATCATGGATTTCCTTGCTTTGTTTTATTTTGTTATGCATGATTATGCTCGTTTTCCTTATAAACGTTGCTTACTATATATTATTATAGTTATAGCACTGTTCTAGGTTGTGTGCACGAGAATTCTAGGCTTTTCAGTTGCCACCGAATTGCCTTCTACCGAATTTGGGAAGGACCCATTCAGGACGCTTGACGACCCGCGGAACCTTCTAGTAACATTGGGGTTAGTGGCCTTGTATATATATAGCACGACTTTGTACCCAAGCTTCCATAATTTACTTTGAGCACATTTCCTTTCCTAGACATGTGTCGGATAAAATTTTGTGGGGGTGTGTGGACGTCGCCATGGAGGTTTTGGCAAAGCCTACGTGCAGACAGATATTTTGAGGTCAACATAGCACATCTGGCGTAACCGACGGCACGTGGACGACTTGGCACCTGTACAATGTGCATGGTGATGCACAACGTGCGCAACCGTCTACAAGCACATGCGAAGTAAGTGCATGCACAAGCGCTTATAGTCACCTGCCATTGCAACGCTGGCAAGGCGCCTTGCTGCAACATTGGCGATCTGCAATGATGCGGCACTGGCAGGTTACCGACTTGCAACGCTGGCTAGTCACATCGCAGTTGCGTGGGCGCGGTGTCGACTTTCAGTGCTGGCAGGCCGCTCCCGTGCTGCGCTGAAGGTCGACCTGCTTGTGCGCTAGGTTGCTAGGCATCTGATGTAGTCGTTGTTGCCATTGCCTTTGCACCATTGTCTATCCAACTTCTGCTAGTGAAACTCATTACAACTTTCTCCGTGAACACGCAAGTAGTGTCTGCTGAGAATTCTAACCTACGAAGGAGATGGCGTGATGGCACGAAGGGTGGAATTCAGGTTTTTGCTCTTGACAGACTTGCCTTGGTAGATTTCAGCAGCATTTCACTAAGAAAGTATATTACAAGAAAGATTGAACCAACATACTAGAACCAAGCAACCATGCAGAAATGTTCCTAGAGGAACGTTTAGCTAACTACCATGCATTTGCCATGCCAACTCAGCAATGGCAGGTGGGAATCCACCTAACTAGATAGTTACCCAAGTTGTACACCATCTATAGGTGTGCACGTTTTTTTCTATTTAAAAAACGTGTAGCATGTTCTTTTTTGTTGCTGGTTCAATTTCTCCTGGCGGGTACAATTTCTGCCATGAATTGATTGGTCGAAATTCTTTGCGCTCACATTGGTCGAAATTCCCGCACATTGAATTTCTCATCGAAATTCAATCATGCGTCTGCGGGTGTTCGTAGGGGTTGGCGCGACCCTGCGCAGATGAACTTTTGCGAACCTCGGCACCAGTTGCGCCCCCTGCGCCTGTGCACGAGATATTTCCGTTGCACCTGCGGATGCTATAGTTGCTCGTGCACGGGTTCCCTGGTGCAGAAGCTCAAGCAACCTTCCTCCTTGTGCACGAGGTTCTTGGCCCAGCCTGCGCAGAAGCTCCAGATCTCGCCCATGACATGCAGGGCTCTTCCCAACAGTGAGAACACAAGCAAACGTTACGATCACTCGTACCATCAGTGCCCCCTCCGTAGTCCAGCTCCCGGTATAAAGTGACTCCTCACTTTCGCGCTATCGCACGCTTCTTTATGGGCAAAACGCAAATTTAGGGAGTGTGCGTGCTCTATATGAGCTTGAGCGTTATTGTCATCATTTCAGGAATGGTTCAATAACCTTTCAGTTATTCCAACACTGGCCACATGATTACGTGATAGAATGATTTTATGTTGACCTGGACAAATAAGATCGGATTTAGGCCGCCATAGACAGCTGGGGGAGCGGGGTGGTTGCTTCATCGTATAGGTTCTCCCTCCTGCGACAATGACGACTGTGGTTGACTTTGCGATATCATGATATTGTGAAGAGCCTTCTGAAAAATCACACATATATCAAAACGTATTTAAAGTGCCGAGGTAATCAAGCTAGTGGTTGTAGCGGTAAATGCCATATGGAAGGGTAGGAACTTCGTGCTATCCACCTCAGCTTTCCAGCTTGGATAATCTCAATTCGTGTCTCATTTGGCACGCCAAGTGGGCATAGGTTTGAGATCAACCCTGCTGGCATTCGAAGCACATGGCACGACGTTTTGTCCACGTGGACAGATGAAACGGATTTGGCGATTCGGCAACCAAATCTCGTGAAACATCTGTGCCCCTTGCAACTCGTTCAGTTGATGAAGTTTATGGACTCGAGTCCGTGTTTTAGAAGAGCCGTATGACTAGTACGAATTGAGGCCCACAACAGCTCCCACCTGGCTGCTCACTCTCGTGCGGTTCGTGCTAACTCTCGGCCTTCCTGAGTGCTATCGGTCGTGTTCTGCGAGCGGATGGTTTTCGCAATTGGAATTCGCCGTTTGTTACCGTACCGCAGCAGGAAGCTTGCTCGACGAAATTTCATGTAGAAAACACGGTCTCGGTAGGAGCTTGTGTTTTGCAGCTTTGGCAAGAAAGTCGCGACGCGCCGGCGGAATTCTCGAGCAGCATTTGTGTGACAGGATTGGCGGCACGAGCCAAGAAACTGACCTTGTTTTCAGCAGGCACCGCTCTGTCCCCTTAGTGGCATGAATGCGTTGGTTTGCGTTTTGGATGAACGGTTGCGCAAGGTTTTGAGCGACTCAGGGATTCTAGAAACGCCCCAATCTCAAGAACCATCGGTCGATGGTGTCGAACCACTCTGCTGTTGCTGACATGTTAGCGCCGCGTTTCTCGGGATTTTTTTGTGCCCCAAGAAACCATCAGCCCAAGCTAAAGGCAGTTCGAGACGGCCTTATCTTGAGCCTTGGCTTTTGTACGATTCCGGAACAAGCCTCCGAGCAAGAAAATCTCGACAATGGAAAGCATGTAAAGACCCAGCAACTTAGCCGAAGAAGCTTTCACATTCACCTCCAGGTCCCCTGATCCACAAAAATCGCCGTCAAATTTCAGAAACCTTTTTCCAGCTCTCTTTTGGAAATCACCTTCGTTGCGGAAGAATTATCTATCCACTTTTGATTACGTTCATCATGGCTGCGGACGGCAAGTTCTTCGCGTACGCGTGTCTGGGTCCGAGGCAGAAGTTCGAACCGTTTCACTACGAGCCGGCCCCGCTGGGACCCAACGACGTGCAGATTAAAGTCACGCATAACGGCCTGTGAGTTCCTTATAACGGCTGGCGAGAAGATCATCTTGGCCTGCGAGTCGCTCGTAACGGCCTGTGAGTGCTCGTAACTTCCTGCGAGTCGCTCGTAACGGCCTGTGAGCCAGCTGTTATCAAGCTCCGAAGTCGTCGCCCTTTACCCGCCAAAATTCTGACCCGTTAACGCCATCCGTCGTCGTTGCTGTTCGCGCAGGTGCCACACGGACCTGCACATGCGCGACAACGACTGGAACAACGCGACGTACCCGTTAGTAGCAGGCCACGAGGTGGTGGGCATAGTGGAGCAGGTCGGCGACAACGTCACCACGCACAAAGTTGTAAGTATTTATTTCTCGTTAGCTCGCTTCAATCCTGTTCGTCCAACTGAGGATACGGATGAAATGAACGAAATTCTTGAATGATGTCTTCGAGCCGTCGACTTATTAGTGGCAGAGTTTGATTGTCGGGAATTTGAGTTTGATGTTGGTCCGACGTTGTAGTAATACCGCCTCGTCTCAACCCGTCGTCCCGAATCGGAGTGACTTTCCGAGCCTGCCGCGCGCAGAGGGACTTGCGTGTGCGCCGTGTGAGCAGAAAAGCCTGTCCGCGGAAGGGAGTGCCTGCGCGCGTGGGGTTGAATGCGGGGTGTGAAGAACTCCCACGCGCGCGGAGGGGAGAGACGCGCGGAGCTAACCCTAAACCCCCGCGCTGACCTTCCGCGCCCCCTGCTAAAGCCCAATCCCGTCCCTCCCCTTTTGAATGCAGGGTGACCGCGTCGCGTCGGCTCCGCGACGCGAGGGGATCATCCTCCCACCCCTCTCTGTCCATCCCCACCCATCCGCACCCATCCCCACCCATAGGGTGACTGAGTGGCCTACGGTTGGCTGCGCGATTCCTGCCGTTCCTGCCTCGCCTGTGTGCGGAGAGGAGAATCTGTGCGCGGAGGCGAGGGGTACACGGGGCTCATCCTCCCATCCTTCTCTACCCCTCAGCACCCATCCGCAAACCCTAGGGCGACCACGTCGCATACGGCTTGCTCCTCAACTCGTGCCGCTGCTGCCTGTCATGCGTGCGCGGGGAGGACAACCTGTGCGCAGAGGGGAGGGGTACACGGGGCTCATCCTTCCATCCCTCCCTGGTCATCCCCACCTACCCGCACACATCCTCACTCACAGGGCGACCGCGTCGCATACGGCTGGCTCCACAACTCGTGCCGCTGCTGCCTCGCGTGTGTGCGCGGGGAGGAGAACCTGTGCGCGGAGGGGAGGGCTACACGGGGCTCATCCTCCCATCCCTCTCTACCCATCCAACCCCTCCGCACCGACCCAAAATTGCAGGGCGACCGCGTGGCCTATGGCTGGCTTCGTAATTCCTGTCGCTGCTGCCTGTCGTGCGTGCGCGGGGAGGAGAACCTGTGCGCGGAGGGCTACACGGGGCTCATCCTGAACGGCAACAAGGGCGGCTTCCAGCCGCGCCTGCGCGCGCCCGCTGATTTTGCCATCAAGCTTCCGGATGGATTGGATTCTGTCGATGCCGCTCCCCTCATGTGTGCGGGTGAGTGTGCGTATGCACGGCTCATGGGGCTGGGGGCTGGGGGTTGGGGATTGGAGCCTCATGGGGGCTCATCCTATTTTTGAGGCGCCTCAAAAATCGTCTCATGGGGGCTGGGGGCTGGGGACTGGGACCTCATGGGGGCTCATCCTGAGCGGCAACACGGGCGGCCTCCAGCCGCGCCTGTGCGCCCCCGCTGACTTGGCCATCAAGTTACCTGACGGGCTCGATTCCGTGGATGCTTCTCTGCTGATGTGCGCTGATGAGTATCTGTATGCACGGCTCATGGGGCTGGGGGTTGGGGGCTGGGGGCTGGGGGCTGGGGTGGGGGTGTGGGGCTGGGGGCTGGGGGTTGGGGGTTGGGGGCTGGGGGTTGGGGGCTGGGGGTTGGGGGCTGGGGGTTGGGGGCTCAGGGCTCATCCTCAACGGCAACAAGGGCGGCTTCCAGCTGCGCTTGCGCGCGCCTGCAGACTTGGCCATTAAACTGCCCGATGGGCTGGATTCAGTCCATGCCGTGCCTCTCATGTGTGCCGGTGAGTGCTGAGCGTCTCCTGTGCCCCTGTGCGGGCATGAGAGTACTAGCAAGCGTGATCGGCATCGGTGGGGGCTGGGCCTCCTGGCCCTGCAGATCGCCCCTTACCCATCTGACCATGCAGGTTGCCCTCTCACTCACACCCTTGATCCCTCCCTTCCATGCCTCGCGCCCACCTGGCTTTACAAATTGCCCCTCGCCTTCTCACACCCTCGCCTTCTCACACCCTCGCCTTCTCACACCCTCGCTCCCTCCCTTCCATTCCTCACCCCCTCTCGAAATGACTTTTGAGTCGACTCAAAAGTCAACTCTCACACCCTGGCTTCCTCCCTTCCATTCCTCACCCCCACTTGCGCAATCCCCCTGTCGCCATCCCCCCTCTCCCAATCCCCTTCCCTCCCTACCTCCCCTACCAGGCATCACCGTCTACAGCCCCCTGCGCGCGCACATCACCCGCCCCGGAATGAGAGTCGGAGTCATTGGCATCGGGGGACTGGGCCACCTGGCTTTACAGATCGCCAGAGCCATGGGGGCTGCCTTCGCACGGGAATGCCTTCTCCACCTCAACTGCCCCTCACGCCCTCACTTCCTCTACTTCTTACTCTCTCTTCTCTTCCCACTCGCTCCTCTTTCCCCTCCTCTATTCCCTCTCCCTCCCCTCCTCCATTCCCCCTCCCTCCCCTCCTCCCCTCCCAGGCATCACCGTCTACAGCCCCCTCCGAGCCCACATCACCCATCCCGGCATGAAAGTCGGGGTGATCGGCATCGGGGGCCTGGGCCACCTGGCTTTACAGATCGCCAGAGCCATGGGGGCGCACGTGACTGCCTTCTCCACCACAGCCAGCAAGGAGTACGAGGCGAGCAGCATAGCATGGGCGCGCAGCATGGGCGCTCCCCCCTCCTCATACCCTTCGCCAACCCCCCCTCCCCTTGCGTGCCTTCCCACAGGCATCACGGTATACAGCCCCCTGCGCGCGCACATAACTCGCCCAGGCATGAAGGTGGGCGTGGTGAGCATAGGTGGTCTCGGTCATCTCGCTTTACAGATCGCCAGAGCCATGGGGGCGCACGTGACTGCCTTTTCCACCACTGCCAGCAAGGAGGCCGAGGCGAGTAGCATGGGCGCTCCCCCCTCCTCATACCCTTCGCCGACACCCCCTCCCTTTGTGTGCCTTCCCACAGGCATCACGGTATACAGCCCCCTGCGCGCGCACATAACTCGCCCAGGCATGAAGGTGGGCGTGGTGGGCATAGGTGGTCTCGGTCATCTCGCTTTACAGATCGCCCGAGCCATGGGGGCGCACGTGACTGCCTTCTCAACCACTGCCAGCAAGGAGGCCGAGGCGAGGAGCATGGGCGCGCAGCAGTTTGTGGTGTATGATGCAAACGCTGCCCCTGGGGGGGGGCATCCGGAGGTGCCTAAGAGCGCACATGTGGATGTGCTGGTGAACTGCGCGCCTGTCTTGCCGCCCAACGGCGACTACAGGAACTTCATGAGCCTGCTGAACCCCGACGGAACGTGAGTGCGCCTCTCCCCTTCCCTCATTGCCTCTCTGCCTGGTGAACTGCCTGCTGTGCTGCCTCCCAGCGGCGACTACCGCAACTTCATGAGCCTGCTCAACCCAGACGGCACGTTAGTGAGTTCATGTATTGCTGTCCCGGGCAGTGGGAAAATGGACATGCCGAGGTGCCTAAGACCGCGCATGTGGACGTGCTGGTGAACTGCGCGCCTGTCTCGTGCTCACTGGGATTCCACCTCATGCCATCGGGCAGGTGGGCCTTCGACATCTGTTTTTCCTCATCCCTCTTTCCCCTGACCCTCCTGACCCATTCCCCCCCATCTCCCCCCTCCTCCTCTCCTCTCTCGCCTCTACCCTTTTCCCCTTGCCCATTCCCCCTTGCCCATTCCCCCTTGCCCATTCCCCCTTGCCCATTCCACCTTCTCCCTCACTCACAGGCTCGTGCTGACTGGGATTCCGCCTGATGCCATCGGGCAGGTGGGCCTGCTGGATCTCATTTTCGGGCAGAAGAAATTTGCGGGGTCGGTGGTGGGCGGGCGGATGATGCTGAAAGAAATGTTTGACTTCTGCGCTGCTAACAGCATCAAGCCCGTGACTGTGGTGAGTGTGAGTGTGACTGTGGTGAGTGTGAGTGTGACTGGTGAGTGTGATTTAGTGCGACTGGTCAGAGAATTTGTTAGTGAGTGTGTGTGACTGTGGTGAGTGAGTCTGTGAGTGTGACTGTGGTGAGTGGGACTGTGAGTGTGACTGTGGTGAGAGAGCGAGTTAGAGGTTGAGGGATAGATCACCTCATGAAAGAAATGTTTGACTTCTGCGCTGCTAACAGCATCAAGCCCGTGACTGTGGTGAGTGTGGGTGTGACTGTGGTGAGTGTGGGTGTGACTGTGGTGAGTGTGGATGTGACTGTGGTGAGTGTGGGTGTGACTGTGGTGAGTGTGGGTATGACTGTGGTGAGTGTGGGTGTGACTGTGGTGAGTGTGGATGTGACTGTGGTGAGAGTGGATGTGACTGTGGTGAGTGTGGATGTGACTGTGGTGAGTGTGGGTGTGACTGTGGTGAGTGTGGGTGTGACTGTGGTGAGTGTGGATGTGACTGTGGTGAGTGTGGATGTGACTGTGGTGAGTGTGGGTGTGACTGTGGTGAGAGTGGATGTGACTGTGGTGAGAGTGGATGTGACTGTGGTGAGAGTGGGTGTGACTGTGGTGAGTGTGGGTGTGACTGTGGTGAGTGTGGGTGTGACTGTGGTGAGTGTGGGTGTGACTGTGGTGAGCGTGGGTGTGACTGTGGTGAGTGTGGGTGTGACTGTGGTGAGTGTGGGTGTGACTGGTGAGTGTGGGTGTGACTGTGGTGAGTGTGGGTGTGACTGTGGTGACTGTGGGTGTGACTGGTGAGTGTGGGTGTGACTGGTGACTGTGGGTGTGACTGGTGAGTGTGGGTGTGACTGGTGAGTGTGGGTGTGACTGGTGAGTGTGGGTGTATGATTCCCTTGTTGATTTCCTTGTTGATTCCCTTGTTGATTCCCTTGTTGGTTCCCTTGTTGGTTCCCTTGTTGATTCCCTTGTTGATTCCCTTGTTGATTCCCTTGTTGATCTCCACACACATGCATATCTGCTTACCAACCCGCAATCTCCCCTTCACCTCCTGGTTACCACCTGATCACCTCCTGGTTACCACCTGATCACCTCCTGGGTACCACCTGATCACCCCTGATTACCACCTGGTAACCACCTGGTTACAGTTCGTGGTAGAAATGTGTGAGTACCATGGGTGTGATGGTTGTGAGTGTGTGACTCCGGTGAGTGAGTGTGTCTGGTGAGTGAAATTTTAAAAATCACTGTTACAACTTGGTTACCACCCTGTTACCTGGTTACCACCTGCGTGTTACAGTCATGCCCGCTGTTCCACGCGTACAAAGCTATAAATGGAGCGGAAGCCAAGCTTTAATCAACTCACCACCTTTTCTTCCCTCCATCCCCGATCATCTCCCTCTTAACTCCCCCTTACCTCCCTATTTCCTCCCCCTTACCTCCCCCTTACTTCCCCCTTACCTCACTCTTACCTCCGTCTTACCTCCCTCTTACCTCCCTCTTAGAACCCTCTTCCCCCTCTTACCTCTCTTCCACCTCGTTACCACCCACATGTTACATATGCGTCTGCTGTCACAGCCAACCGAGGCGATGGACGACCTGGTGGCTGGCCTTTAGTCGCAAACTCACTGGGTCTTTTTCTTACGTTCGTTCCCCGTCACCTCCCTGTTACCACCTGGATACCACCCACATCTTACAGACCCGTCCTCTGTCGCAGCTCAACGAGGCGATGGATGAAGTCTTGGCGAACAAGGTTCGCTACCGTGTCGTGTTGCTTACTGATGTTGAGTAAATACAGATGCGTTGATGTTTTAAATGGGTGGGTGGGTGGGTAGTTATTGCCTGTCTCTTGGTAGTTGAAACAATATCAAAATAGCTTCGATTTTAGAGGCTAGGTTGGATGAAAAAGTTTCTGGTTATTTGTTCGTGTGAATCTCGAGCCACTGATATTTAAAATGTTCTGGCAGCATTTTGACATAATGTAGAGACAATGATTAGTAATTGTTTCTTGTTTCAAATCGCTCTTATGCGCGATCATTTTGGCAAGCCCGAAGCGCTTGGTCAGCTCGCGCGCCAAAGCCAGGTGTGGGGCTCTATGAATCATCGTCGCGGGAAACCAAGGGTTGACCAGGTTCGGGCTGAAATTGTTTCGCGAGGCGGGTGCGTAGCGCGTAAACAACGGAAACATTTTCGCCAGAGGTTGGCGAAAACAACTGCAGGGCCCACACAAACAAACCAACTTCCAATTCGACTCCGGCTACTCTCCATCCACCATCGTGAAATGGGCCTGCTCTGTGCTGTGATGCTGTTTCCAGAGGTATGCTTTAGGGCGTGTGTGATTTCAGGGTTTTGGTCAAAGTTCGAACATAAACCGCTTTGCACCGTGGCGACAATCTCTCAATTGTATTTCACCGTGTATAACCTTTCTAGAAGTTCGAACTTTCGGAAGTTCGAAAAAAAATCACACACGCCCTTAGTTTCAAATAGACAGAAAGTACATGTAACAATGGCCACAAATAGTAGGTCCGAGTCCTTATTAGCCTAAAGAGGCAGCAGTGGGCTCGGTGCACGGCAACAGCAGCATCCGTTTCCGCCCTTCCACCAGCTTATCACTCAGCCCAGGGAATATCCAACAACCTACCAGGTCCATCCGACATCCAGAGTTATCCCATGAACACAAGAGTTTCTGTGGGCGCCACTCGCAGCTGAACTTCCTAGGGTGGCGTCACGGCTTGTGACGTGGTCTTATGCGGAGCCGTAGCTGGCGTATTTGCAGTCGGGCGCTACGACCGACGAGGAGATGTAGTCCTCGACCTCGCCGTCCAGGAACCCCTTGCCCTCCGCCTTATCCACGTCCACGGGGTGGTGCAGCAGCGCCGCCAAGTGCGAGTACTTCACCGCGCGCTGCAGCTGCTCCGGCGAGCTCCTGAACGTCTGCCCCAGCACGCCGTGCACGGCTGACGTCATCACCACGTCGGAAAGTTCCACGTTGAAGTGCGCCTCCGCCTCGGTCGGCGTCTGCAGCAGCGGGTGCGCCACGCGCACGCGCACGTCGAGTTCCCCCAGCCCCACCACGCGCACCTGGAATTGATCCACGTCGAACGGCCCCTCTTTCTCCTCCGCGTTTTTGGTAACCACCAGCCCGCTTTTCGTCGTGATGGACTCGCCGACGGGCGGCGGGACGGCCAGCTGGCCATCGATCTGAATGAGCGACACGAAGCCGTTTTCCCCGCGCTCCTGCTGCTTGCCCTTGCGCGCAACCATGCGCAGCGTGTGGTTCGCGCCGTCGGGCGTCATCCACACCACGCCGAGCTCCTTAATCCACGTGTGCAGCTCCATGCTCGACTCGCTCGACTTGGCCGACGCGGGAAGCGCGGGCGGTGCGCCCTGGTACCCATTCAGATGCATGTTGACGTGGAATCGACGGTCGGAGAAGAGGCAGAACGATTTGTCAAGCCGCCCGGTAAAATCGAAGTGCGTGCCGTGCGCGCCCGTGAGATGCGGGTCGTTTTCGACGAGTGCCGTGCCGTTGCAGAGCCCGCCGACGAAGCTCAGCGGGTAAGAAGCGGAGTTCGCAACCTGCGTGGCCGTGTCGCCGGCGTACGGCGTCTTGAAAGCGCCCGACGTGCCCGAGCCGCCGTTCTTCTCCAGCAGGTAGCACTGCACGCGGTCGATAAATCCCGCCACATTCGCGTTTTCTCCGGCGAGACGCGGGCTGGGGGAGGAAGAGAGAGAGAGAGAGGGGATCGAAGGAGGAAAGGAAATCAGTCACTTAGAGCGCAATGGGCTGCACTCTTCGACCGTAAACCAAAAGCTTCCGTTTCAGCGCGAATTCTGGAAAACAAATTCAACCCGCACTTACTTCTTGAACCAATGCCACTCGTAGCAGTAGGTGGAGCGCGCACATGCACGGCAGCACTCCTGCAGCGTGTCGCCGTACACGCCCTTCACCACGTCGAAAATCGTCCCCACCTCCGTGTACCGCTCGTAATTTACGGGACCCGATCCGCGCTGGTGAGGCTCGTACAGCCCGCCCTGGTCGTTGAACTGGCCCTGGAAATCGCCGATGAAATTGTAGTCGGTGTAAGTGGAGTCCGTGATTGTGGCGGTAGCGAGGTCGTCTATGTAAGGGCAGACGTAGCGAGTGTGGCATCCGCCAGCAGGCATGTTCGCTGCTTCTGCGCCATGCAGTAACACGCTGACGAGGGCGAGGATTAAAAGTCTGCTAGGGAAAGCCATATTTTTGTTCTCGGGGTGATGCTCCGGAATGCTCAGGAAGGAGAGATTGCAAGTACTTCACACGAGGAGGCTGCTGACCTGTGTTGTTCGATTTGAGAAATGTGCCTGATAAATACTTGCCCTTCAGTTTGGCATACGAGTTCACCTAATGCGGTTAAGTGCGATATTGCGCATTTCATAGCGGTTTGTTTTGAATTCTTTGCGTTTGGGGAGGGTTTCGAGCAAGGCTGAATCGTTGCTCCTGAAACGAGGTGGTGCTGAATTGCATGCTGGCTTGCTGGCGCAATGAGACCCACAGCGAGCCGCACCCACTTGCTTTACAGAAATCTAGGGTAACAGCAGTACCCCTCGCACTCGCAATGAGGCCACAGTGAGGCGTAACCACCACCCGCACTGAGGTCGCGAAACAGCATGAGCTCGATGAATGAACGAGGTTACATCGAGTCGCGTTGTTCTGGCGGAGATTGAGGATTTGCCGCATCGTAACGCAATTTACCGATCTCAGATTTGCGAATAAAGCACACCACCGTTTGAAAATCCCCACTGGCAAGGCATGTTGCAGGGGGTCGCACGCACGCTGGGGGAGGTTAGGGGAGGGGTCATTTCATGTGCCCCACTGCCCAGCGCGGACATGAGTGTTGGTTTGAATCTTGTTCGCTGCCAGCCAATGGTCCATTGGCATCAGCGCCAGCCCCGATGAGTGTTGCATGGAGACTGGTTGGGAAGTCATCGGTTTGTGAGTTGTTCGATTTTGGTGTTAGGGTGAGGTGAGATTTGGGTTTCTCTTCCGTTCAGTTCAGAGTTACTTATTCTACACATTTTCTTCAGTTCAAATCCGAATACATATAGATGATATACAAATATTTGAATTGAAATAAATCCCAAAACTTGTCACAAATAGATAATTGGATCGTCGCTACTGATATTGAAAAGGCCATTTTGTTAATATTGGAACTTTTATTATAAATAGCATTTCTGCAACATTCTTGAAGTGAGGCACATCAAGCACAGCAGCGCAGCGCCAGAATTCAAGCGCCAGCACAACGCTATGGCCCACACCGTCAATTTTCATATGTTCCACTTCACACCCTAAACCCCCGCTCTTTGCTCGATCAGTTCTTGCAAATGCCCGCACAGGATCAATACTTTCTTCGCTAGCGTCGGCCAAATCCCGCTCTAGTCGCCGCTGGCTCCTGCGCTAACTTCGAAAATATAGTGCTGTACTAGTTCCAATCGAAGGCCAGTCCGTGCGACTTGGGAAGGAGAACTAGCGTGAGAAGAGAACCAATAGCAAGAGCTCCTTTTAAAAGATTAATCTGCGGAAAGAGAAATCTTGTGACTTTGACAAAAGCATAAGCCCTTCGACACTTGTTCGATTTTTTCCGAGCTCTCGGCTTGCTCTGGCCTTCTCAGCATGACGTCAGTGACCACCATATTAGGTGCTCCGATAGTAGATTTCAATCTGCCGGGTGTGCCTAGGCAGTACTCGGGTCCCTCTCGTTCCACGTGTCACCCCTTTTTCGCCTGCGTCGCTAGCGATTTTCGCAAGCATTCGTCCGTTTGGTTTGCACGTGGGTCGGTCTTCTCCTCTCGCTCGATTTCCGGCGGATTTACTGGAAATGCGGTGCCGTTGCCACGTGTATACCGAGCTGACGCGATAAAAGCGTCCTCGATAATGCCGTCCTCGATAACTCCTTCCTCTGATGTACCGTTTCCAGTGGTAGCGCGTGATAGCGCTTCGGAAAAGCCGTCGCGCGGGCAGGCGAAGAAAGGGGCCAAGAAGGGCGGGCAGAAGAAGGAAAAGAGTTACCAATCAGATGACAACGATTTGGAATTCGGAAGCATCGAGGAAATGCAGCGGTGGCTGGCAACGAAACCCAAGGGGTTTATTGATCCGTCGAAGCAGTACGATACGTCGTTAGAGGATCAGCTCTTAGCGGAGATAGAACAAAAGGAGCAGCAGAGGGAGCAGGAGACAGCAGCGGGTGGAGGAAACAAGCCGGGAGGAAGCTCGGGAGTGAAGTTGGGGCAGAGGAAAGGGGCGAAACAAGGCAGCGGCAATCAAGAAGGGGTATTCGACGCACCTACGAAAGGGAAAAAGGCTGCCACAGGTGAAGTGCTTTTGATTTCATGCTGATTTGGCCTTTGAGGCGCCTCAAAATCTGCTCTGGCTGCCCGGTGAAGCCTTCTGGTGGGTTACATGGATTATCGAGTCAGGGTTTCGGGGTTACATGGATTATCGTGTCAGGGTTTCGGGGTTACATGGATTATGGTGTCAGGGTTTCGGGGTTACATGGATTATCGCGTCAGGGTTTCGGGGTTACATGGATTATCGCGTCAGGGTTTCGGGGTTACATGGATGATCGCGTCAGGGTTTCGGGGTTACATGGATTATCGCGTCAGGGTTTCGGGGTTACATGGATTATCGCGTCAGGGTTTCGGGGTTACATGGATGATCGCGTCGGGGTTTCGGGGTTACATGGATTATCGGTCAGGGTTTCGGGGTCACATGGATTATCGTGTCAGGGTTTCGGGGTTCCATGGATTATGAGTCAAGGTTTTGGGGTTTGAACATTCAGGCTTCATTTTGTGACAGATGGCGGAATGCATGATGTGAACCAGTGGGTGGAAAATTCTGGGTTGTATTTTGAGGCGCCTAAAAAATGAGGTGTATTTTGAGGCGCCTAAAAAATGAGGTGTATTTTGAGGCGCCTAAAAAAATGAGGTGTATTTTGAGGCGCCTAAAAAAAAGGGGGGGTGTATTTTGAGGCGCCTAAAAAATGAGGTGTATTTTGAGGCGCCTCAAAATACACCAGAATGCATTCTGTGAACCAGTGGGTGGAACATTCTGAGTTCCTGGTTGGGCTTTTTGAAAAATTGAAGTTCAAGATTTCTGGTTTCGGGTTGAATGTCTATGGTTTGTAAAGGTTACGGGTTCTGGGTTTTTGTTGGACCAATGACTGGACTGTTCGTTGGCCCCTTATCTTGGCTGCGGCATATAATATGCAGCATTCCAAGAATCAAGGAGTGGTATTTATACCCTTCCCTCTCCCTCTCCTTCTCCCTCTCCCTCTCCCTCTCCCTCACCCTCTCACTATTTCCCTCCCCTTCTCCCAATCGTATCTCCCTCTCCCTTTCCCTCTCCCTTTCCCTCTCCCTTTCCCTCTCCCTTTCCCTCTCCCTTTCCCTCTCCCTTTCCCTCTCCCTTCCCTCTCCCTCTCTCTCGTCCTCACCCATCCACCCTTTCCCCTTCCCCTCTTTCTCCCCGCCTCCCCCTCCCCCCCTCCTCCCCTCTCTCCCTCCTTCCCTCTCCCCCTCCTCCCCTCTTTCCCCCCGCCTCCCCCTCTCCCCCTCCTCCCCTCTCACCCTCCTTCCCATTTCAAATTCTCAGATTCGGACCTTCCACTTTCAGCCATAAAAGTTCGCGTGTCCGGGCTGCCCAAGAAGAAAAAGATCGGCAGGGACTTACGGGCAGCGTGGAGCGGGCAGCCCGGGCTGCTGAAAATAATTCCCATGGAGACCGGAACCTCTTCTAGCACGCGCGATCCTGTGTGCACTGGAAGTGCTGTGGTGGCCTTCACAGATATGGCTGCAGCTCAGAGGTATGCAATTAGGTTTACTGAGGTGCAACTGGATTTAGTGCAGTGCAAGGCAGCTGGTGTGGGTGTGGTGGTAGCATGTGAAAGTAATACCATGGAGACCTGAACCTCTTCTAGCACGCGCGATCCTGTGTGCACTGGAAGTGCTATGGTGGCCTTTACGGATATGGCAGCCGCTGAGAGGTATGCCAATGGGTTCAGTGCGGTGCAAGGCAGTTGGTCTGGGTGTGGTGGTAGCATGTGAAAGTAATACCATGGAGACCGGAACCTCTTCTAGTACGCGCGACCCCGTGTGCACTGGGAGTGCTGTGGTGGGCTTTGCAGATATGGCAGCAGCTCAAAGGTATGCCAATGGATTGAGTGCGGTGCAAGGCAGTTGGTGTGGGTGTGGTGGTAGTAGCATGTGATGATTTCCATGGAGACCTGATTCTCCTCTAGCACGCGTGACCCGGTGTGGTAGGCTTCACAGATATGGCAGCGCCTCAGAGGTATGCAAACAGGTGCAGTGCGGTGCAACGCGGGTGGTGTGGGTGTTGTGAAATGTGTGCCTGCCTGGCTTTACGGATATGTCAGCCCGCGGCTCAGAGGTATGCCCAAGGGTTTCAGTGCGGTGCAAGGCAGTCGGTATGGGTGTGGCGGTAGCATGTGAAAATATTTCCCATGGAGTCTGGAACCTTCTCTAGCATGCGCGACCCATTGTGCCGTGGTGGGATTCACAGATATCGCAGCGGCTCAGAGGTACGCAAATGGGTTTGAGTGCGGTGCAATGCGGTTGGTGTAGGTGTGGTGGTAGTTCCCCTTCCCACCCACCCCCCAACCCCCCCCCCCCCGATCCGGTTTGGTCAGAAGGAAAAGCTTGTCCATTCCAAGCTGATGGGGGCTCCTGAATTGACTCTCACCCACCCCCACCTCCCTCCTCTCTCCTCTTTCCCCCTCCTCTTCAACCCCGTCCGCTCCCCCCCCCCCCCCATCAGGTTCATTCAGCAGTACAATCGCCCAGCCCCCAACTGCGTGTTCTCTAGAGGTCTGAAATCTCCATCACCTTTCCTCCTTTTCCCTTCCCACCCTCTTACCCCCCCCCCCCCCCCCCCCCCTCTCCACTCCCAGGTTCATCCAGCAGTACAATCGCTCAGCCGCCATCCGCTTCGGTCAGAACGAGAAGGCTGTTGCTTGCCAAGCTGATTGGCGCCCCTGCTGCTGATTGACTCTCTCTCCACGCTTCCTCCCCTCTCCCTCCTCCCCTCTCCCTCCTCCCCTCTCCCTCCTCCCCTCTCCCTCCTCCCCTCTCCCTCCTCCCCTCTCCCTCCTCCCCTCTCCCTCCTCTTCCCTTCAGCAGATTCATTCAGCAGTACAATCGCTCAGCCCCCATTCAATTCAGCCACAAGGAAAAGCCCTTTTCCTGCCAAGCTGTTCTCTCCTACCCGTTGCCCCTGCTGCTGTCCCTCACCCCCATCTCACTCCTGCTTCCCCTCCTCGTCCCTCCCCGTCGCCCCCTTACCCCCCTTCTCCCCCCCATCAGGTTCATTCAGCAGTACAATCGTTCAGCACCCATCCGATTCGGTCAGAAGGAGAAGGCCGTTTCATGCAAGCTGATTGTTGGCGCCCCTGCTGCTGACTAACTCTCCCCATCTCACGCCTCCTTCCCCTCCTTTCCCCCCCAACCGTCCCTTACCTCCCACCCCTTCCCCCCCATCAGGTTCATTCAGCACTACAATCGCTCAGCCTCCATCCGATTCGGCCAGAAGGAGAAGGCCCTTTCATGCAAGCTCATCGGCACCTCTGCTGCCGACTCTCCCTCTCCCATCTCTCTCCCCCCTTCTATCCTCTTTTCAACCCCCCCTGCCCCCATCAGGTTCATTCAGCACTACAATCGCTCAGCCCCCATCCGGTTCGGTCAGAAAGAGAAGGTAGTTGCTTGCAAGCTGATCGGCGCCCCTGCTGCCGACTCTCCTCTGCTGCCAAGCGACCTTGCCAAGAGCAGATCCGTTAAGGGCGGTTCTGGTAAGAGCGCTGATGCCACTGTTCCAACAGCAGCAATCGCAGCACCTAAGGCAGTAGTAACAACAGCAGCAGCCGCAGCAGCAGCACCAACGGCAGCAGCAGTGGTGGAAGCGGGAGTGATGGCAGCAGAAGAGAGAGGAATACGAGAAGGGGAGGATGGGACAATGAGGAGGGAGGAGCGTCGGAAGGCAGGGGGCTCAGGGATTAAGGGAGATGCGAAAGCCAGTAGCAATTATGGGGAAGGGAGTAAGGAGGAGGAAGAGGATGACGATCAGGAGGCACGGAGAGCAGGGGATAAGGGCGGTAAGAAGACGAGGGAGAATGAGGTGCAGGGGGATGCGGCTGCAGGAAAAAACAATTTGCAGGAGAGAGATTTGCAGGAGAGAAATTTGCAGGAGAGAAATTTGCAGGAGAAGAAAGAGGCATGGCTGCAGAGGTTAAGGGAAGATAAGGAGCTAAGGGCGCGAGTAGAGGAGATTAAGAAGAAGGTTCTAAGGGATATGGCGGCAGGAGGGAGGGAAGAGGAGGTGGGGGTGGGAGGGGGTGCTGGTGGGAGTGGGAGGCTTAGGGTGAAGGAAAAGGGTGTGACTGTATCGAGATTGGGGGTGAGGGAGAGGGGAGGGGGACAGGGGAGGGCTATGGAGGGGGAAGGGGTGAAAGGGAAATGGAGAGGAGAGGAGGGAGGAGGGGGGCTGAAAGAGGGGGAGCAGAAGTGAAGAGGAGGAAGAGGAGGAAGAGGAGGAAGAGGAGGAAGAGGAGGAAGAGGAGGAAGAGGAGGAAGAGGAGGAAGAGGAGGAAGAGGAGGAAGAGGAGGAAGAGGAGGAAGAGGAGGAAGAGGAGGAAGAGGAGGGAGAATGGGAGGAAGAGGAAGATGGGGAGGAATGGGAAGAAGAGGAAGGAGGGGAAGAAGAGGAAGAGGAGGAGGAAGGAGGAGTGTTAATGGGCGAAGTGGAGGTGACTGTGGAGAGTGTGACAGTTGAGAGCGTTTCTGCTGGAAATGACTATATTGGAGGTGATTCTGTTCAAGGAGGATCAGCTACCAGGCCTGCTATACTTGCTGTTTCAACAGCAGCAGCAACAGCAGCAACAGAAAAAGCAAGTGCTATTTCTCCATCCGTTTCTCGCCCTCCCCAGCAACCAAAAGGAGCAAAGCCACAAGGAGAGGAGGGAGGGCGAAAGAAGGGAGAGGGCAGAGCAGAGGAGGATGAGCAGCGGAGGGCGGCTGAAGCACGCATTGAGGCTCTTGAAGCGAAGCTGCTTAAAATGAGTCAGACGGGAGGGGGGAGTGAGGGGGGGAGGAGTGAGGGAGGAGGGAAAGGAGGAGGGAAAGGAGGGAAGGGTAAGAGGACCAAGGAGGGAGGAAGGCGCAGGTAGGGCTTCAGAAATGAGGGGGGGGAGGTGGACAGGAGAGCTAGGGGAAGGTGTAGAATATCTAGAAGTTTCTTTTGCAAGGTAAGAGTCCAAGGAGCTTGTTGTTGCCATATGACCCCGCTAACAAACGAATATCTGGAAGGAAAAATGTGGCAGACAGCCAAATTCTGTTTCGAAGTTAGGAACATCTGATGGGGCTGCTCAAATTGCTGGGGCCCATCCAGTTGCTTGCTCACAGTTCATAACAGGAAAGGAAGGCAAACATGGCCGGCATCCTTGTGCCTCTGTTCTAAAGCTAACTGCTCTGAGGAGCAGTCTTCAGTGAGCCATGGCGAGGAGGGAAAGGAATGGGTTAGGAGCAGCTTTCAACCATAGCTTCAGGAAATTCATAATCTTCGAAACATGCTTTGCAGGGATTCAGACACCCTAAGCATAACAGCCGTCCGTCTGTCCAAAACGTGCCTGGCTATGTCTCATGTTTTCATGCCCTGGCCTGGACTTGCAGCATGTCTCATGTGCTGTTTCACCAGATAAGGCAAGTGCTGTTCCGGTCATGTTCGGATTATTCAGCTATTATCAACATTACTACAAAACAAAAATTAGTATGTAACATGACAGAAACAAGAAACTAGAGAGCCTATGCACTCGTGAACTTGGTCACGGCTTTCGTTCCCTCCGAAACAGCGTGCTTCGCCAGCTCTCCAGGAAGCGTCAGCCGAACAGCCGTCTGGATCTCGCGAGACGTGATCGTCGGCTTCTTGTTGTACCGCGCGAGCTTCGACGCCTCCGTCGCAAGCTTCTCGAAAATATCATTTATGAAGGAATTCATGATCGACATAGCCTTGGACGAAATGCCCGTGTCTGGATGCACCTGCTTTAGCACCTTGTAGATGTAGATCTTGTACGTTTCCGTGACGGCCTTGCGAGCCTTCTTCTTCTCTTTCTTGTCGCCTATGGGCTTTTTCCCCGCGGCAACGGCTTTCTTAGCGGCGGGCTCCTTCTTGGGTCCCTTCTTCGCGGCCTTCTGCTCCCCTTCTACCTTCGGCGCCATGTTAACGCAGAATTAATCGATGAATAAGTGGTTGACAGGGTAAGAGAGCCTTCGAAAGTGCCGGCAGGATGAAACACCGAAAAGCGTTGATGGAACGAGCGTTGAATAAGGAAACGTGTTGCGAGCTTATAAAATGCGGAAACGAGAACTTGAGATAGAGAAGACTACTGCCGCAATGACTATTTCAACAGTTTGAAATGGTTTGGGAAAGAGAGTCTGGCTGGAGTTGCGTGCGTGGTGTGTGGGTTCTCGGGAATTGCTGCAGGGCTCGAAATAGTTAATTGTGCTGTCAAACTGAGCCAATGAGAAGCTGGGTGACAGATCGAAGCGTTCTGTATTGACCGTCGATTAAATAGCAACAGATTCGCTTAACCGTCAATTAAAGTTTCACCTAGGTTTCGCTTCTGCCTGTTTGTAAATCGTCCGATCTTATCCAACGGCGTATTGCTTGCGGCCGTGGATGGCGTGGTAACCTTGCGAAATTATTATCGTCGGATGCAACTCTCAACCAATCGTATACCGAGATTTCAAAGTTTTTGGGGTCGACGCGGATCAGGGCTAGCCGTCGATAGGCCAGGTCAAAACTTCTCATCGACGACCAAGAAACTCAACACCACCGAACAACGCGCCGAACCATCCCCAGCGTCACCAAAGCATGAGACCCACCACAGCACAGACCAGCCCCACCAGACAGGGCTTGGGCGAACCAACCACCACACCACACCACGCAACACCCAAACGTACCGCAACATCCAGAGGTCACGCCATCCATCGCTTCCACCCGTCCCGCTTCCCTCACCACAGAAGTCTGGAATAAAGGAGCACTAAATCGCTCCTGAGTTCCATCGTTCCAGTTCTCTCCAAGTCCATTATTCCAGGTTCCTTTTCTTCGAATCTATTGTTCTTTGCTTTCAATTTCCGAGATTCAACAGAGGCGCCAAGACTTCGTTGCGGAGCTGCACATCTTGACCTTGAGCCTGATTGAGTTCCGATCGCGTCACACTTCGAGGTTCAGCCTTTCTTGAAGACATTCAACCGTGTCTTTGTGTGCGGTTAATATCCGTTAATCATCATGTCGGGACGCGGCAAGGGAGGCAAGGGCCTCGGAAAGGGAGGCGCTAAGCGTCACAGGAAGGTTCTTCGCGATAACATCCAGGGTATCACCAAGCCGGCTATCAGGCGTCTCGCTCGTCGCGGCGGCGTCAAGCGTATCAGCGGTCTCATCTATGAAGAGACTCGCGGCGTGCTCAAGGTGTTTCTTGAGAATGTTATTCGCGACGCTGTGACTTATACGGAGCACGCGCGGAGAAAGACGGTTACTGCCATGGATGTGGTTTATGCGTTGAAACGCCAAGGCAGAACCCTGTACGGCTTTGGCGGCTAACTAGCGATAAGACCCCCTGTTTAGTTCTAACATTTTTTACAATAATGTACAACTTGCAATAAATACCATAGGTGGAAATAATTAATCAAATATAACACCACTATCGTTTATCGCAAAAAATCTCAATCGCGTACAACCAATCTGGTTCAACTCAGGACGCGTCACAAGTAGAACATCGATCCTGCCTAGAATCGGTGTTTAGGTGGTTACACTTTCTCGTTTATTTTCGTTAACGTACAGTTTTCCCTTCTAAGTCAGGCGATCGATGTGCCCCTGTCACACATCGATCGTGCAATTTCGTCCACATCGGGCAATTTTGCCCCATGTTTTTACGATCGTGTCACTTGAAACTTCAAAGCAGTCGTGACACACCGATATGGCGATCGGTTTGACAGGTTCGGTGAACAACCCTGATCCTTCCTCGATATTTTACTTGTGACGCGTCCTCACACCCTCGCGATCGCAGTGACGAAAGGGCCTGCAACCGCACTGTACCCGAGCGTATTCTATCCGCAATGGACGAGCGATTTGCTTTTGCACTGACAAGCGAATGAGAGCTAGTTATTTCCAGCCTTCTCTATTTGCTCCTTATTTCCAAGGCAGACGATTAGTCTAAGAAGTCACAGATGTGTCGCCATGCGACGTGCGACTTGGCGACACATCTGGTCTCGCATTTCTTCGTCGCTTGACATATCTCCACCGTCGATCCAATCGTCCGTGAATCACTCTTTCGCATCAACCGCTCTCAGCACCACGATTTTCCATTCTTCCCCGTTTCAAAGAAACCCATGTTTTCATTATAGAACGTCTTACGCTACATCGAGCTTAAGTAGCCAGTTGCGCGCATCGCCAGGCCTAGATGCCCAGCTCCGCAGGCTAATTAGCAGCAGGGTGAGCAGCAGCAACAGCAGCGTTAGAAATGACAGTGGAAGCGAACGCATTGCAAGATTCAGCAGCAGTAGCAACGAGAGCAGCAGTGGCAGAGACGGCAGCAGCAATGCCAGCAGCGTTGGCAGCGGTGGCAGTGTCAGCAGCAGCGCGATCAACGGGTGGTCGCACCACAAGTTGACGATCTCGCGCGCTGCGGACATTCTCATGGCGCCGCCAGCTAAACCGAAGCGACTCGGGTAGGGCCTGTAAACCCCTGCCCCCCTACCCCGCCTCCACTCCCCAATTCACCTCCCAACTCCACCCAATCTTCACCACAAGATGACGATCTCGCGCGCTGCGGACATTCTAATGGCGCCGCCACCCAAGCCGAAGCGACTCGGGTACGGCCTGTAAACCCCTGCCCCGTCTTCTTCCCAATCTTGCCCCGATTCCCCCACCCTATTCCCCCACTCCCATGGCGCTGTGAACATTCTCATGGCGCCGCCACCCGTGTACAGCCCGTGAACCCCTCTCCCTGCCTCCATGTCCACCCACTTCTCCCCAGTCTCCCCTCCCCTTCCCCATTCCCCCGCAATCTCTCGCCTCTCTCACGGCGTTGCGGACATTCTCATGGCGCTGCCACCCGTGTACAGCCCGAGAACCCCTACCCTACCTACCCATGCCCCCTTCCCCAATCTTCCCCTGCCTCCTCTCCCCCCTCCCCAATCTTTCCCCCCAATCTTCCCCCCACTCCCTCAGCGCTGCGGACATTCTCATGGCTCCGCTACCCTGGTACAGGCCAAGAACTCCTCCCCCTGCCTCCACCCCCCCTCCCCAGTCTCCCCCCGATCTTCCCCCCCATGGCGCCCCCACTCTCACGGAGCTGCAACCGTTGCAGTGTATGCATGATACATCCCACGTCGCGCTCTCTCTCCCGCCGTCTTCCACCCCTCTCCTGCTCTCTCTCCCGCCGTCTTCCACCCCTCTCCTGCTCTCTCTCCCGCCGTCTTCCACCCCTCTCCTGCTGTCTCTACTGATGTCTCCCTCCCTCCCTTCCTTCTTCCACCCACAGGTGGCACTTCCACATATGGCAGGCGGTCGTTGCAGTGTCTGCATGATACATCCCACGTCGCGCTCTCCCCTGCTGGCTCCTGCTGTGTTGTCTGCATGCTAAGTCGATTTTTGAGTCGACTCAAAAGTCTGCATGATACATCCCACGTCGTGCTCTCCCCTGCGTTCCAACCCTCTCCTGCCGTCTCCATCCTTCCCTCCCTCCCCCCCTCACCCAACACCCACAGGCGGGATTCCCACACCTGGCAGACCATTGCTGCATGCACGCCTTTTGAGTCGACTCAAAGGCAGACCATTGCTGCATGCACGCCTTTTGAGTCGACTCAAAGGCAGACCATTGCTGCATGCACGCCTTTTGAGTCGACTCAAAGGCAGACCATTGCTGCATGCACGCCTTTCCTCCATCTTTCGTCACCCTCCTCCATCTTTCATCACCCTCCTCCATCTTTCGTCACCCTCCTCCATCTTTCGTCACCCTCCTCCATCTTTCGTCACCCTCCTCCATGTTTCGTCACCCTCCTCCATCTTTCGTCACCCTCCTCCATGTTTCGTCACCCTCCTCCATGTTTCGTCACCCTCCTCCATCTTTCGTCACCCTCCTCCATCTTTCGTCACCCTCCTCCATGTTTCGTCACCCTCCTCCATGTTTCGTCACCCTCCTCCATCTTTCGTCACCCTCCTCCATCTTTCGTCACCCTCCTCCATCTTTCGTCACCCTCCTCCATCTTTCGTCACCCTCCTCCATCTTTCGTCACCCTCCTCCATCTTTCGTCACCCTCCTCCATGTTTCGTCACCCTCCTCCATCTTTCGTCACCCTCCTCCATCTTTCGTCACCCTCCTCCATCTTTCGTCACCCTCCTCCATGTTTCGTCACCCTCCTCCATCTTTCGTCACCCTCCTCCATGTTTCGTCACCCTCCTCCATCTTTCGTCACCCTCCTCCATCTTTCGTCACCCTCCTCCATGTTTCGTCACCCTCCTCCATCTTTCGTCACCCTCCTCCATGTTTCGTCACCCTCCTCCATCTTTCGTCACCCTCCTCCGCGTCTCCCCCCTCCCCCCACCCCACACAGGTGGGACTTCCACATCTGGCAGGCGATTGTTGCGTGCATGCCCCCTCTAGGTGCGTTACTGGCAGATTCGTTCATGCTATAAACACTGGTAGAAGCAGCACCCCGTATGGACCCTATAATATACACCACACAAGCACCATGCCTGCACGGGTAACTGAACTCGCTGCAATAGTCACTTGCAGACCCCCTCTAGGTGCGTTATAAACAGCCTCGCTAATAGTCGTCGGCTGTGTGTGCAATATTCAAAAGAAGAGATTGCGACGATGGCGAGAGCGATTGTGAAGGGGGTGTGAAGGTAGTGTGAAGGGAGTGTGAAGGGATTGTGAAGGGAGTGTTAAGGGAGTGTGAAGGGAGTGTGAAGGGGCTGTGAAGGGAGCGTGAAGGGAGTGTGAAGGGGCTGTGAAGGGAGCGTGAAGGGAGTGTGAAGTCTGGGAATAGAGTGGTACACTTGTGTCAGATTCCCCCTTTTCCCTTTTCTCCCCCCACAACCCCTCTCCCCATGCAGCGGTGTATCTGACAGTGCAATATGCGAAAGCAGAGATTGGCAAGAGTGGAAAGCGGGCACTCCTGCGTCCCCTCCCCTCCCTCTGCCCTCCATCCTC